CACCAAGAAACTAGAGGAACCCCATGTTTGTCAAAAGAGCCAGACCAAAGGAAATTAAGACACCAAGTCTCAATTCTCTGAAGCAGAGACATTGGCCACTCATAGATCTGAAAACTGTAAACAAGCATACTAGCTACAACAGACTTAAGTAGCTGAAGTCTACGCACCACAGAAAGCTGAGACCCTTTCCATGAAGAAAGCTGAGAACTGATTTTTTCTGCAATGCCCTGAAAATATATTGCACGAGGCTTGCCCTTGAAAATAGGAACACCCAAATAATTAAAGGGATACGACCCCACCTTGATGCCTAGAACATTCGAAATCAAACGATGGCGATGCTGGAGAGTCTTACACATAAAACATTAGACTTTGTTTTGTTGATAATTTGGCCAGAATTAAGCTCATATTCTTTCAAGAAATCCATAAGGATTGTGAGATTTTTCCTGGAGCCTTTACAGAACACAATGATATCATCTGCAAAAATAACATGGGAAATTGTTTGCACCCCGCAGGGCAAAGATATTGGAATGAGCTTACCAGAATTAATCAAATCCGCAATACAAAGGATTATCTTGAATGTTTGGTGTAGCCGTGTATTTATAAGCTCCTTGTGTGCTAGGGTGTTAGTATGAAAATTGTGTTGTCATTTCCTAGACTCTAGCATAGGTTGGGAAGTAGTGTGTGAATTATGTTTACTGGAAGATTTGGCGCAACACATTCAATCCCGGATTGTCGAAGTGTGACTTGATCGATATGAGGAAATTGATTTCAGGTAAACCATGACATAATCATGCATTCATTATAGGATTCCTAGTTGGAGTTATTTTCACTCAAGCACTACTTTAATAGGATTAGATTTATCTCTTAAGATTACTTTCCTAGTTGGACTCTATTTTTATTTAAGTTAAAATATTATGTTTTCATCATCTGGACTTGGAAAGTATGTTTTAATTATATATATTGTTTCATTGGATAAACAATTGATTGGGAGTGCAAATGATAAGCTGACGAAACCATATAGGATTCTAAGACTATCAAATTGAATGCATGGCAAGATCATTGAGTTGCGGCGGTGGGCTTTCATGTGTTATGTAGAGAATGAGTTTTGTATAAATCATGGTGTGCATCTCTTTTGGAAGAAAGCTTTTGATATTTGTGTTGAGCATATAGAATTCTGAAGAAAAAACTGTTGTGCATTTATTTGAGATAAATCATAAAGTGTTCCATGTTTATTTGGTGATTTATCAAACACTTTCATCATTCATATTGCATTCATGTGCATGTCGGTGACTCATACGATTGAGGGCACCAAGATCGTGGTGGCAGTTTTCCTCCGGCAAGCTTGAAGCAATCGTGACCAGTATATATTGCGTTCAACATAAGGAGTGTCGAAGATCATCCCGTGACAGAAGTTGAGTTACAAAGAAGTCGGTAAACATTATCTAGAATGTGTCTAGGATAAGTGTGTGAGTACTTCTTGTAATCATCGTTCTATAGTGGATTTGTATTGGACTAGGGAGTCCCGTGGATTTTCCTCAGAGGTGATGTTTTACCACGTTAAATAATTCTCTGCGTGTTCTTTTATTATATGCCCAGCACATTTCAGAATTGATAAGCCATATCAATCCTGCTACCGAAGTTAATTGATTATAATATTAAATTGGTTTATTAACACCCTCTAGGCACATATAGACATCCTACAGGTATTTTCATAGGGTTTTACAAAGAATAAACTCTTATTAGGAAAAAGTTTATTCTTTCCCCAAATTGTAGAGATTGAGTTCATTATGGATTTGATTGGGATCAAATCTCCTAATTTGATGATAATATCTCTAAATAAGGATAATATCTTAATTAGTGATGTTATCTCTTCAAATAAAGATAATATCCTTATTTTTGGTGTCAATTATTTTGCCAAATAAATGACTTAATTAATTTGACCTAGGAGATATTCTTCTTGTGAAATTACCTATAGGATGACTAAAAATGCCTAGATGGGGGTGAATAGGCCAATTTAATATTATATATCAATAAATAAAAATAAACTTCGGTAGCAAGATTGATATGGCTTATCAACCCTGAAACGTGTAGAGCATAAAGTAAAAGAACACGCAGAGAATTATTTTACACGGTAAAACCATACCCCACCTATGGGGAAAATCCACGGGAATCCTCAGTCCAAAACAAATCCATTATATAATGATGATTACAAGAAGTACTCACAAACTTATCCTAGACGCAATCTAGATCATGTTTACTGACTTCTTCGTAACCCAACTTCTGTCACGGGATGATCTTTTGACACTCCTTATGTTGAACGCAATACTGGTCACGATTGCTTCAAGCTCGCGGGAGACAAACAGCCAAACGGTTTTGGTGCCCTCAATCGTATGAGTCACAAAACATGTAAATCAATGCAATATGAATGATGAAAGTATTTGATAAATCACCAAGTTAACATGAAATACTTGAAGACTTATCTCAACTATATGCACAACATGGCTTTTCTTGAGAAATTTATATGATCAATCAAGACATATGAAAGTTATGTAAAAACCCAAGAAGTCACGACATGTCTTTATACAGACATATTCTCCTTTTACCAAGGGAATTGCTTAAAGCCAAGAGATCAAATATTGCCTAAACATATTTGATTCTTGGATCTAGGTCCAAAACGATTAGCTGTCATTGGGTCTAGTCCTCGTGTTTTTAGTTTTAGATGTAGGTCCTTTGACATTTATTACTTTTTTGTTGTGTCGATTTTACCCTTTAAGGTAAATAAGGAAAACCCATTGAAAATCTAAATTTAATGCATTATTTCCTTGAAATTAAATTCCAAATTTTGAACTTTGAATTTTTTTCCTTGATAATATTCCTAATATATAGATAAAATACAATTTAATCAATAAAAAGTAAAGACTCACATATTATACCAATCGATCAAACAACACATTAAATTATGTAC